ATTTTATGTTTCTGAATATGTGCGACCAAAAGAATGTTAGCAGTTTGCCGTGCTACTGGCAATAACTGAGTTTAACAGTTCCTTAAGGCATTGGCCATATGAGGTTCAATTCAACATTTTAAAAACTGCTAACATATATTAAGTGGTACTTTTTAATTATTTTACTTTATTTTTTTTCCCTCTACTAGTGAGTTGGAATAGCATTCTCAACTTTTTTTTTTTCTTTTTTAAGCAAAACACAAGTCTTAATCTGCATTTCTACTGTAGGGAGAGAACTCAGCAGCATGTAGATCTAAAGTCACACCAAAGGAAGAGAATACAACAGTGTTAAAGTAACCAAATTAGGCCCTAGTTGGAGTCCACTCATGCGAAGCTCCATGTTAGCAAACCAAAACTTAATTAAGTTTGTATGCTGGGCTGTCCCAGGAAACGAAGGCCTAGCTCAACCAGTCAGCACTTGCCTACACAACACAAGTTACCTAACCCGGCTCCAAACTTCCCTATGCTCCAATCAGCAAATGCCCAGTATAACTCCCCTGCTCCTCCTCACTTTAGTCTATAAAACCCTCTCGAATTGAACAATTCTTTGGAGCTCCCTTCTGCCTGTTATACTGGATGTTGCTCAATTCATGAATCACTGAATAAAGCCAATACGGTCTTTAAAATCTACTCAGTTGAATTTTGTTCTTTAAGAACAGCAAGTATAAAAATTAATTCCAAGAAGCAAGGCAAATCAACTTCTCCTCTGAATCAGAGTGGTCTCTCTGGGAAGGCTAGAGAACATTGAGCAAGCATTGGTTCAACATCTCTCTGATACAGCTTCCTGAAACTGAAGGAATGCTAAAGAAACTGTGGGTTCTCCAATAAGTTTCTTTTCCTTTAAATTCACATATGTTAATCCAGAAACCATACTTTTTCCTGGGATTTTGAACAGATTCCAAACATCTCAAAAATAATTCCCCATACTGAAGTCTCTGCTAAACAGAAAAGCAGATAAAAAATTCACATATGAAGCAAAAATTAAAGCACAGGAAACATAATAAATTAACATCATAGTAATATGAAAAAAAAGCAAATGTTTTTTATTTGCACTTGTTTTTCTAAGATTCTATTACTAAATGAGTACATATCGCTCTGATTTGTTCATTTTCCTCTGGAAAGATGTCCAAATAAGAGTGAAAGAACATTAAAAATAAGCTATTAAAGGCGTGAAAGTGAGAGATTAAAAGTTTTTATTCCCACAGCAACTGCACAAGACACATTTGTACTACATGGGCCACTCCTTAGACAGGCACATATTTCTTACTACTTAACTAATTCCTCTGAAAACACAAGGTAAATACACTAATAAAATCACAACTAAACTACACACAATTTGAGACCAACATGTCATAGTTGCCTAGGTAATCGCAAACATACTTGCTACAGGTAACTGGCAATAATAGCTTTTTATGTATAATATCCATACTGTGCAGCCCAGTGAAAATAGGCTGCCCCTCCCATAAGATATGGTTGAAAGTGTGTTATCTGGGATGTAACCTGAATAATGTCTTTTTCACAAAATGCTACTATTAGATTTTTTTTTAAGAGATGATTCCCTAAATCTCCAGGAAAGACCAAAGTCTATGAACAAAAGAATCACAGTTCAAAGAGAAACTCATTCACTAAATGAAAGGTAGACAACACTAAGAAAAGGAAGAAGTTGTGACATCAGTCCTGGCTGAGGATCAGAGGATTCTGGCCACCCTTTGGCAGAAGTTCTTAAATTTTGCCAGATAATCAGACGAGAATTTGAAAGGGAATAAAATGGAAGCATCTTAAGAGTAGAGACCTAGACCTGGGCCTATTGCCTAGTGGTGTTCAATAAATACGTGTTAAATGACTGACAACAATTCCTGAAGAAGAAGCCTGAATCTCTGAAAGGCCAGAGAGTATATTCTAGACTAAAGGACTTCTGTAAGACTTGACCCCCAAGTTGAACAAAACTAATCTCTATATTACTCTTTTTACTGCCCTGCTATATATATTCTGTGCCTTCTGAATCTTCATGTATATAAGCAATTTCTGTTCACTCTGTAGCCTGACTGAAGAGCACATAACTGCTTGACTTATCAAGTTGTCAGACACAAGCCAAAATAGGGAGAACTTCAAAATGTTCCTTAAGCTCCATCCAGAGTTGGCAGTAAAAGGCTGATGTTCTCTGTGCCACTATATATAATCATAAAGCTTTTTGTAAAACATTTCTAAGGCAACTTTTTATAAGAAACACTACTGAGAGCCAAAGCAAAATTTCAAGAATGAAAATGTTGTCATTAGAGCAAAGCAAAGAGGCCCATCAGGGAATGTTTTTGGCTTCCCATGGTGATAGTTGTTTCTGATTATATATATAAAATAAATACTTTCCTCTGGGTTTTAAAAGGCTTTTAAGAAAGGAAATAGGGGTGCCTGGGTGGCTCAGTCATTAGGCGTCTGCCTTCAGCTCAGGTCATGATCCCCGGGTCCGGGGTCGGGCTCCCTGCTCAGCGGGAAGCCTGCTTCTCCCTCTCCACTCCCCCTGCTTGTGTTCCCTCTCTCGCTGTGTCTCTGTCAAATAAATAAATAAAATCTTAAAAAAAAAAGGAAATAAACCAGATTAATTTTCTTTCTAATTTGTGATATCCAAAGGCATATTTTCTAGTTTCTATAGTCCTAATTATCAAAAACAGGAAACAGTCTTTAAAATAAGTCTTTAAGGGGTGCCTGGGTGGCTCAGTCAGTTAAGCATCTGCCTTCAGCTCAGGTCATGATTCCAGGGTCCTGGGATTGAGCCCAGAGCAGAATGCCTGCTTCCCCCTCTCCCTCTGCCTGCCGCTTCCCCTCCACCAACTGCCCACTTCCCCCCACCCCCTTCTTGAGCACTCTCTTTCTCTGTCAAATAAATAAATAAAAATCTCTTTTAAAAAGATAAAAACAAGTCTTTAAGTTCTGTCTATTTTAATTCCCTCTTTGGGCCTGAAGACATTTTAATCAAAGAGTCCAAGTAACTCATTCTTCTCTTCTTTATTTTCCATTGACAAATAGCCTGATATTTTCTCTATTCAATAGTCTATAATTTTCTCAAAGAACAGATAAAAGATATAAAAAGTTTTTTGTTGTTTTTTTTAAACACTGTCCAACTTCCCTTCAACAAAATGGGTAGGGTAGTTTGATGTGTGTTTTCTAATATCTCCAGGCAGTTAACTCAGTTCTGACACTATCCCCTGGAGATAAGATCACAGATCTCACACCTTAAGAGCTCAGCGCCACAGACTGCCCTCCTTTTGATGCCAAGTGCCGGTCCAAGTTGTTACCTGTGCTTCTAACCAACTGGTTCTAAATTGGAGGTTTCCATGACCCCACCCTCGGTTCAGTGAATTTGCTGGAACAGCTCACAGACCTCAGAGAAACTTTTAGTAGTTTATATATATAAAGGATAATATAAAGGATACAGATGAATAGCCAGTTGTAGAGGTACATAGGACAAGATGTGTTGGAAGGAGCACTGAGCTTCCATGTTCTCTGTGCAAATCACTCTGCTTACATGTTCACGTGTTCACTAACCCAGAAGCTCCAGGAACCTCTGTCCTTTTGGGCTTCCATGGGGGCTTCATTGCATAGACATGATTGATTAAATCATTGACCATCACTGATTGATTCAACTTCCAACACCTCTCTACCCTCCTGGAGTGCAGGCGGTGGGACTAAAAGTTCTAACCCTCTAATCACCAGGCTTTTCTCCTGGCAACTAGTCCCTATCCTTAGTTAACTAGAGACGTGCCAAAAGTATCCTCATTAGCATAACAAAAGACATTTATCGCTGTCCTCCAGTAGGAAATTCCAAGATTCTAGGAGCTCTGTTCCCAGAATGGGATGAAGACCAAATATATGATTGACCCTTGAACAACACAGGTTTGAATTGTGCATGTCCACTTATACTTGGATTTTTTACAGGACTATTTTTTCCTCTTCCCTATTATTTTTTAGTAGCATATTCTTTCCTCTAGTGTAGTTTATTGTAAGAATACAGTATATAATATGTATAAAATACAAAATATGCTCATCAACTATATATGTTATAGCAGTAAGGCTTCCAGTCAACACTAGGCTATTAGTAATTAAGTTTTGGGGGAGTCAAACGTTATACATGGATTTTTGATTGTGCAGGTCAGTGTCCCTAACCCCTGCATCCTTCAAGGGTCAACTGTACATTTCTTATAAATCACAATATCACCGGTAGTAAGGAAAAGATTTATGAATTAGTTGTATCCCCCTTACCATCCACTGAGAGAGACAGACATATCCTTGCCATTTATAGAAATATACACAAAGGCAAATACCCTACCAAATGCTCTCAAGCCTCCAACAACCAACACACACCAGGGGAACACTTAACAGAGACAAAGACACAAATCTTCAGATAGATGCTAGACAGAAGACAAAAGGAACAAAGGAGACAGAGAAATGTGTATTACTTGCAAAGGATGGACGGCTACTCTGGCAGGCATCCAGCAGCACACCCAGGCACAGCCCCTGTGCCAGGGAAGAACAGAGGTACCCCGCTGGGGTGTAACGGTGTATTACACACACACCCAACACACATGCTCTCCTCTCTTCCTCACAAACACACTCTCTTAATACACAGTCTCTCTCACGCACTCTTTTTCTAACACTTTCACACACACACTCTCACACATACAATCTTTTAAAATCTGTTATGTACATAATTACTCTCACACACTCCAACAGTCTCACACACACACACAATCTCATACACACATTCTCTTCACATACAATCTCACACACATACATACAGTCTCTTAATGTACATTGTCTCACACACAGTCTCACAAACGCGCGCGAACACACACATTCGCTCTTAAGTCTCACACACGCCCCCGTTGGCCCCGCCCCCGACGTGGCCCCGCCCCCTGTGAGCTCCGCCCCGGGGGCCGGGGCGGGGCGAACCAGTGACAGGAGAGGCCGGGCCGGGCTGGTACTTCTGGCGCCCTGGCCAGCCGGGCGCGCTCCAGAGGCTCGTGTGTGTGGCAGCGCGGCCGATCTCCGGGCGGCCCTTGGGTGGCGGCCGCTGCCTCGTGTTTCACGCTCGGCTCCTCTGGCGGCCGTCCCGGCGGCGGGAGTTGGCGACGGGATGTGCTCGGCCGGGGAGCTGCTTGGCGGCGGCGGCAGCAGCGGTGGCGAGCGCGACGAGGACCGGGACGTGCTGGCGGAGCGGCCGGTGGCGGGGACAGAGCCGGAGCCCGGGGCGAGCCCGCGCCGACGCGGGCAGCGGCCGCTGGAGGAGCGCGAGCAGGTGAGCGGGGAGGGGCGGCGCGGCCCGGCCGGTTTCCCGAGCCCCACCCGGCGGCGGAGGGAAGTAGGCGGGCGGGCGGAGCCTGTGCTGTGCTCGGCATGGGGCGCTGGTCGCTGCGGCGTTCGGGGAATCTGCCCCGAGGAGCGGTTAGACGGCGCGCTCTGGGCCGGGCTGCGGGGTTGTGCGTGCGCGGTGGCGAGTGCCCCGGGATCGAGTGCCTGGCGGGGTCAGCACGGCCCTTCCCCTGCTGTCGGGCAGAGGAGGCTCAGGCCGACACCCAGGGCTCTGTGGAAGTACCCTCCATAACGGTCACTTATCTAAAAGGCTTACATGTAAACACTTTTTTTTCAACTTCAAGTCCATACCCCTGTGCTGTGTTTTAGGGAATAGCTGCTCCCTTCCTGCCCTCCATCTTGGCATTTCTGAACCCACACCTAGCGCCTCTGAAAAGGTGTGGGTGTATTTCTCTAGATAAGCAATCAATGTCTGAAGGCATGTGTAGGAGCGAGTATTACAATAGATATCTTGACAGGGACTCTCCAAGAGTAGGTTCTTCACATGAACACAAATGAGATCTAAACTTCATTTTAAAAGTGAAAAAGCAAGAAAATTGCTTTCAGTTAGCAGCAAAGGGAAAGAAGTATTAAGAGGCCAGAAGTAATAAGGGAAAGGAGAAGTTGGGTAATTTTTGAAACTCTGAATTTGTTCTCACTACATGAGTATGATAATAGGCATTACAACATATCAAATGTCTTCAAGATTAAGCAAGAAATTTAATAAAAGAAATCGAATTATATGTAGGATGGATTTTCACCAGCAAAAACAGTAATTAGACTCTTGAAAATACCTGAGATCAGCCAACCTTCAGAATCACTTTAAGGAGCAGAAATTCAAATGATTATTTGCCTTTGCTCCAGCCTATACTGTTGGGACAATCAGTTGATACCTGTCTCCTTTCATTTTTCTCCATCTGTCCTTTTTGTCACATTTCACAAACTCCAATATCATCACTAAATGCATTAATAAAGTATAACTTCTAGTATTCCAACATTTTATTTAGAAAACGGAAATACCATTGCATGGCACACATAGAATATGCTTAGCATTAGGCTGGCTTACCATGTGGAAGTATAATTCTTCATCCTTATGACAATATAAGAGATGGCATGGTGACTGAAGCAAATAATTGGTCACTAGGAGATCTTCCTGATTCCCTTCCTAGTGCCCCCCGCCAAATATACCATGACTCAGTAGCTAAAGGGCTTAGTTTCCTCTTGGTTTAGTTGTTCAACTGGAAAAGTGAAGAAAACAGCAACAGGAACTCCCTGGATGGTGGTGGTGATGAGGGGGATACATTTGAACCGAGGTTCTCAAAGTAAATTTTCAAATGTTTTAAGGGAGCATGGAAAATATTACTTCATTTACACTTCTGTGGATTTCACATCATCAGTATCTGTGGTCTTACCAAAATTGCTTATGGTACAAAGAAAAAGGATGAAACAAACAAAAAAATGAAACATATCCTAGAAAACATATATCCTATCACTTTGCATACCTGCTTCTTTCATTGCCTGTCATGGAAATTTATTTTCCTGTACTCCTTTGAAATGGTTGAAAATGTTATTTTTTTAATCAGATGATGTATTTATGTACTGTAAGCCTACATAGACAATAACTGAAAATTACACTAGAGATATGCACTTACCCCAAATCAGCACCAAAGAAGAACTTCTTATCAAGAAACCAAAAATGAACAAAAAATTGGGGCAATGCAACCCTTTGGTATAAGAAGCAAGCTTTTGTGATAAATCATTTATTGATAATATTATCACCAAGGCTTGTTTTCTTCTTTTTTTTCAAGTCCTGCAAATGAAATTTAAAATTTTTATGCACTCCCTTGCAATGATGGTAACTACAGATATACCAATGCTTGAGGAAGAAGTAAATGAATTCAGTGACTATAAAATATAACCTAAGGATTTGTTTCATCTAGTTTTTCTTTAGGGGATGGTGTGTGTTTGTTTGTTATTTTAAGAGCGCACCGACTCCAAATTACAGATAGAATATTTTTGAAAACTTGGTTTGCAGACTAGTTATTTAGAATTTAGAGTGAATTTTTTTCTACAGAAACAGTGATAGAAAGAGAACCAACGCTAATTAGCTGGAAATGAGGCAGAGGCTATCTTGCTGGTGTCCTTTCTGCTTAGCACACTCACTTGGTGTTCCACAGTCTTAGCCTTACGGATGTTGAGAGAGAACTGGTGGCATCCGTGGGGGCAGCAGCGGTGGCCTCCATAGAGGCTCTTTTATATGTGCATCAAGGCTATGGTGATGCTCTTGAACGCAGTAGCTCTAGAAGACACCTGACTTTTGCTCCTCCAGCTTTCAGTGATTTTTTTCAGCCCCTAATTTTTTGTATTAAATTTTTTCTATTTTTATTTCTTTCACTGAGTTTTGCCCTTACCTGATAACTTGATGAAGTTTCTTCAGTTAGCTCATTGGTATGATACCAGCTCAGAATGTATCTATAGCTTGGTATTTATTTCATGTAAAACTGAAATAGTTATATAGGTATTTTCTTTTTTTTTAAGATTTTATTTATTTATTTGACAGAGAGAGACACAGCGAGAGAGGGAACACAAGCAGGGGGAGTGGGGAGGGAGAAGCAGGCTTCCCTCTGAGCAGGGAGCCCGATGGGGCTCAATGTAGGGCTCCATGTGGGGCTTGATGCCAGGCTCGATGCCCAACTCGATCCCAGGACCCTGAGATCATGACCTGAGCCGAAGGCAGACGCTTAACAATGGAGCCACCCAAGCGCCCATCATTTTCTTAATAACTAAGGTATTTTCCATAGTATTTTCTTAATAACTAAGATTGTCAGCATCATTTTTTTCTTACTATTTGTTCTTAAATGCCACTCCATCTGAGAGAAAACTAAGGTTCTTTTGTCTCTCCAGGTAGGGTGATTGACAAAGGAGGCCTGGTTAAAATCAAGTATCCTAATAGTCTATAGCAACAGGAACATTGGGCTGATATGGTCCAATTCTATACTCATCTGGGATTGTATAGTCCTCCTTGTTTTCATCACTTTCGCCATCTGCATTTTCACTTGTATCTTTGTTGGGATCATTAGCATTCTCAGCAGATTCAGCGCCTGGTTCTGTATTTTCCTCATTTTTAATTCCATTTTGCAACGCTGCTTCATTTTCTTGATCAAGTTCCTCGATCTTGTCCACCTTTTTTAGCTTTTTCTTTGCAGCTGCCAAACTATGTGATACCTAAACAGGATTTTACTGTAAGCTGTGTTCACTCTTTTATACAAATGAAGCTGCAAAGAATACTCATTGCAACAGCCTTCCTCATTATCAGAAATTAAAGAAATTTCTGAATAAATTGGCAGAAGAACGCAGGCAGAAGAAGGAAGCTTAAGATGTGCAAGAAGCTTAACGATTTTAAACAAAATAATGGTTCTTTGTTTTTAATGTTAACCTTTTTTAAATACAATACTGATAGAAGAAAACTGTTGTACTCTTTTGTTTTAGTGGAAAAATAATAGATGTCTCTTCATCTGTTAAGTGTTAACAGCAAAAATATATATACAGTTAAGTTAATGAAGTATTGTTTTTGTTTTATCAGAATGGTAACAGACTGAAGTACTTTGTAGAGACTGACTCGCTACTTAAGACAACTTGCACCACTAAGAAAAAAGATGTAGAATCATTTAAAGAAATGAAATTTAGTTCAAGCTTCAAATTTAGTTCAAGCTTCAAAGAAATGTCAAAACTTTTGATTCCATTCAATAAAGAACAAAACAAACAAAAAATCAAGTATCCTAAGAAAGGAGGACTTGAAAGAATAGAACACGTCCTTTAGATGAAGGAACTGTGTCAAGTTTGAAGTAGGCATCAGGCATCTAAGAGAGATAAGCAAGGGAAAGAGACAAAATGCCCAAGGGATTGAAGGGAAAGGGCATAACTATCTCAAGTGTGTGTTGTTCATTGTGTGTATGAGAGATGATTCAATTATGTTCATGACTATGAACGTCAGGTGGCTTTATATAAGAGAGTCTCTGATCTACTGCATAACTGAAAAGGCTAAACATCTCTAGTCCTTTTATTATATGCCTACAATGTGAGTAGCATCTGCATAGATGTGGCAGTTCACAACCTGAATAACCTAAGATGGCCCTTCTTACCTCCTAGAGCATAGAGATCCCATTATCCTCAGATTGACTTTAGAATCATTATCTTTAGCTCTAAGGTCTTTCTTTATGATTATTGAAGTAATGTACTTTGGAAAATGTAGAAATAAAGAAAACTCTAAGGAAGAAAACAAAAGCATTTGAAATCATACGCCAAGTAACATTTTGTTAAAAAATATCAAACATTTAAAAAAATGTATCTCATACATTTGGTATTACTACATTCATCTCTCTCTCATATATTACTATAGCTGTATATATGTATACACAAATATATTTTTGACATGTTTTTTTAAAGATTTTATTTATTTATTTGACAGAGACACAGCGAGAGAGGGAACATAAGCAGGGGGAGTGGGAGAGGGAGAAGCAGGCTTCCCGCAGAGCAGGGAGCCTGATGCGGGTCTTGATCCCAGGACCCTGGGATCATGACCTGAGCCGAAGGCAGACGCTTAATGACTGAGCCACCCAGGTGCCCCTATTTTTAACATGTTTTAATGTAATATTGAATTTGCTTACTTGTTTTAACTACTTAGCATGTTGTGTCATTTTCTTGTGTTATGAAAAATTATTTGTAAAAATTATTTTTAGGGCTGCCTAATAGTCCATTTTTCTACTACTGTACACTTAAGGTGTTTCAAACTTTCTTTTTAAATAATGCTGTAAGGTTGCTTGTAAATCTTCACAGTTCTACCTTGCAGAAGATTCCTAGAAATGAAAGAACTAGGTCAATGAGTCAAACTCAATTGAAGCTTCTTGGAACATTCTGAAGGATTGCATTCAAGAAAGGTCACATCAA